CCAAAAGTGTTTGTTATCCAATTTGTTCACTATTTGAACTGTTCGTTAACCGAACACTCACTGTATTATGTTATTTATTTTTACATTTATATATTATTTACGATTTAATTCTTATTCTAAGTAGTTGATCCGTTATTGGTATTTTTGAATTTTGAATGTGATGTTCCATTTTAAGATGTATTCCATATTTGTATGATCTATTGAGTAGATCGAAAACATTTGTTTTTAATAAACCCCCTCAGCAACAAATAAGGTATTTAGTTACTTGATAGTTTTTTTTTTTTCTGAGTACGTTTCTGTTAAACGTTGAAAATATCTTTTCATATTTGAAATTTATTTTAAAATCTGATGTAAACTGTGTTTAAAAATTGTTTATAAATAATGGAACTATCATAGAAAGGAGAAATATCAAAGCCAAAATTTTCTGGATTAGATGGATCTATATTAATGTGGCAATCATTTGGCTTTAACAGTAGAGCTGTTGAGCTAGAGAAATTTCAAAAATAAAATAAAATTTACACTTAATATAAACTCTATTACAAGTTTTTAATGGTAAAAACATTTTAACCTAACTCGATAGTTTTCCTTAACTTGTCAAACTATTAAAGATATGAAACTTTTAATTAGAAAAAGAAATTTAAAACATAAAATAAAATATATAAAATACAAATTCAAATGAAAATTAAAATATATTGCTATATATTTTATCGACAATATGAAATTAATACATTGTACTGGTAAAAAAAAATAATAGTTTGATCTAGTTAGAGTTCAGAAATATACCTCTGTATTAGTAGATAAGGTGTTGGCATTATGGTAGCTAATGCAGTCATATTTTCTATTGGCTTTATAAATTTCCAATATCTCCAAGTACTTAAGACAATTATGGTCTTTGGCTGATCTAATTATCTTAGCTTTATTTCAATTAAATTGAACTTTTTACTTGTTAGCATAAACTGGGAACACTGTATTTTAGAGTTTCTTGTCAATAGCATACTTGCATTCCTTAATCCTTTGATGTAGGTAGTTTTTTGTTAAAATACAGGTTTTCTGTGGGAATGGAATAAATTTCAGATGAATTAGTATAATGATAATGTAACTTGTTATTTTGTGAAACCTTGTATACAAATGAATATAAATTCATTGTCATTTTGTAAAATTTGTCATTTTGTAAAAATGTCATTTTGTAAAACCTTGAAAACTAGGATTTTACAAAATGACAAACTATGATATGATTATATTATGGTATGTTCTGCTTTATGTTTGTTTTAAATTATATTGATGATCTTTTTCATTAAAAGTTTTATATGTTCAATAGTTTAACAAGTTAAGAAAGACCTATCAACTTAGGTTGAAAATGCTTTAACTTTATTAAAAACTTGCTGCTGGTGTTTATATAAGGTGTAAATTTTATTTTATTTTATCATTTACTAGCAGACCCCGCCACGCCTTGTTGTGGCTCAAAATGTATCTATTATAAATGTATAACACTTCCCCAGTGGGGGAAAATTTTTCGAAAAATTTTTTCTTAGTGTACATTCTGTTGACGTACCCTATTAAAACGCAATCAAAAATGCAAAAACCCGCATCTAAAATAGTATAATAGAAGCCAAGTTTTTCAGAGTAAGCCTTAATCCTGTCTCTCTCCCCCGCGGGGGAATATCGAAAAATCCCTTCTTAGTGTACATTCTGTTGACGTACTCTATTAAAACGCAATCAAAAACGAAAAAAACTGCATCTAAAATGGTTTAAATAGAAGCAGAGTTCTTTACGGTAACCTTTTCCGTAAGGCTTACCATAAAGAACTGTCCATCCCTCATGTTTAACGGAATAATATATAGCCTATGTCCACCCTGAAGTTCCATTCTAAATATTGGTGAAAGAATTTTTGAAATCGGATGAGTAGTTTCGGAGATTACCTGCTACATACATACATACATACATACATACATACATACATACATACACACAAACATTACCTCTTTATAATATTAGTATAGATAAATTTATTTTTAGAAAATTTTATTTGGGTAAGCTCTTATTTACTTGATAAAATTTATTACATTTGATTAGCTACTGTTGTGCCTTATACTTCAAATTTAATTCATTCCAGGAGGCTGTTCAAACTTCGAATTGTTTGAAATCCAAATCCTTTTTACCCATTAGAAATAATGGAAAGTGAATTAATCAATTTCCAGACCCAAAACATTACCCATTTTGATAAATTTAAAATAGCAAATATACATAATTTAAGGTAAAATTACACAATTAAATTCCCTAATAAATTAAAACATAAAACAATAAACAAAATACATAAATGCTGTGTAATAAAAATGAAAATTGCATTAACTGGTCACACACTGTTGACTTTGGCATCTTAAACATGGCCACCACATCCACCACATGCATACCATTCTAATGCTTTATGATAACTTCCTTTTTCACCTTAATTGTCACTATTACAACTTTTCTCTTAGGTTTGGTTGCTTCCATATAATTCTTTGATGCATGGTAAATAAGTAAAGGTTACATTGGGTCAAACAGAAAGATTTTGCATATTTTTAACAGCTGTTGTTACTTAACATAGATGTGTAATTTAATTATAACAGTTATGTGATTTAACATGTTATTGCATATATGAGATTACGTTCTTTGTTTAGAAGGTTATTTTAAACTTATTACTTTACGTTTTGTTTGCATAAAATCAAGTTTTAATGTCTTCAGATCAAAATCCTATCAGGCATATGCCTTATGGGTTTCAGAAAGGATATAACATTGTACAAACAGTAAAAGAAATTTGTAATATGTATAAGTTGAAAATAAATTACACTGATATAAATCCAGCAAAATTTAATATAATAAAAATGTTTCCAATCGTTTTTCAACGATCATCGTCAGTTACAAAAATAGAACAGTAAATATAGAACATAAAATGCGTTTGAAATAAATATAAAAATAAAAATTAATGGAAAATGCCCTAGTGGACGAACTAATGAAAAATTAACAAATAAACTAAATAAATAGTGAAAAATTAATAATTGTAAAAGGACCTCCACGCAGTGGACAATGAGTCGGCGTCTCTATGGTTTATACAAGCGGTTTTCATGTGCACTTTATAGATTTCCAACCTCTCCAGATGTTTGATCGTTTGCCTATTAGTCGTTGTTTTTATAATTGATGCTTGATCCCATTGCACGTCTATATCCTGTTGCTTTGCATACGATGCTAAGACAGTGTTATCAAGGTTCCTATTTATTGTGTATTTATGCTCTTTGAGCCTTTGCTTCAGACCACATATCATCGCACCCACGTAAACTAGCCTGGAATCAAATCGTTGATCATGTAAAGGTACTGACTATATACCCGTTGTTGAATTCCGATCCTCTTTCTTTTTATTGTTTCCCAAAAGTTTGAAAATAGTGGGGTTGCGGCAGTATACAATGTGTATGTTATTAGACTTGGCAGTAGATCTGTGTATCTTGTTCAAAAATGGGATGTAATTAAGTACTATTCGTTATTATAGTCAATCTTGGGAGAACGTCGTTCAGTGGATTGGAAGGATGAAATAAGATTCTCTATTTCTTCCTTTGGATATTTGTTTAGTTGGGCTATCTCAAGAATGTACTTTAGCTCCCTTATCGTGTCGCAAAAACTTGTACAATGCGTGTAAGCACGTTTAATCCATGATCTGAAAACCGCCAATTTGATATGCTTGGGATCGATTGATTGGCATGGGATGATAATGGGTTGAAAGCAGGGTTTATGGTAAATATCGGTCAAGATCTCCCCTTGCTTGCACGTAATGGAAATGTCCAGGAAGTTAACACTCAGTCGCTCTTCTGGTCAAGCTGCAAAGTTAAACCGTAAGGGTTATTGTTGATCTTGTTTAAAAAATATTGTAGGTTAGGTTCTTCACGCCAAAGTACAAATATGTCGTGAATGTATCTGCCGTAGAAAATGATCTGCTGTTGAAATTCGGGTAGGATGGTGTTTTCAAGCTGATGCAAAAACAATTCGCAAAGGATTGCAAAATAAAAAAATTCAACAATGGGCATATATTCAGTACCTTTACATGATCAATGATTCGATTCCAGGCTAGTTTATGTGGATGCGACAATGCGTGGTCTGAAGCAAAGGCTCAAGGAGCATAAATACACAATAGATAGGAACCTTGATAACACTGTCTTCGTATCGTATGCAAAGCAACAGGATATAGACATGCAATGGGATCAAGCATCAATTATAAAAACAACGACTAATAGGCAAATTAGTTCGTCCGTTAGGGCGTTTTCTGTTAATTTTTATTTTTATATTTATTTCGAATGCATTTTATATTCTATATTTACTGTTCTATTTTTGTAACTGACGATGATCGTTGAAAAACGATTGAAAACGTTTTTATTTTATTAAATTTTGCTGGATTTATATCGGTATAATTTATTTTCAACTTATACTACCTCCAGTACGTTTTGGTTATGTAATATGTATGAGGAAGATGTTCCTAAACTTTGAATGCAGTTTATAAAGTTCTGTTATAGAAATTTGAACTAAAGGATGAAAAAAGTATGGGAGTGCTCAAAAGCTGTCAAGAAAGAAAAATTAAAATTACAGGAAGAAGTTATTAAAAATCAATGAATAAAACACAATATATATAATCAAATATACCAAAAATAAAGCAAAAAAAAAAAATTGAAAACACATGAACGTAACAAGAGTGAGAGATGACTTTGGCACACAACAAATTGCATTTACTCTTTTAGTGCATTATTTCATTGGCACACAGTTCAAACTTCAAAGCACTGTTTGAACTCTGGGGCAGATTTTTGTTGAAATTCAGGTTCAAAGTTCAAAGTATTTGAAGCACAAGTTACCACTGTATAGGAAAAATTTAGCTTATGACTTTAAATAATATAAAGTAACTATCACTTTAATTTTTAATTTATTAGTGAATGTTGTGCTAATTGGAGATGTTGTTTTAACAGAGAATCTGTGTTTTTCAGTTTATCATCTGAAGGATTAGTACGGAGGAAACGTAAAGACCATTCACCTTCTACTGATTCTAATTCCAATGGTTCATCTGCTAGTGAAAGTGATACTGCTTCTAATGATGAGAACAGTAACCAAAGTTCAAATGATTCTTTTTCTGGAAACAAAAGGTAATTTTTTAATTATAAAACATTTAGTTATTTTATTATTGTCATAATGATGACATCTACTCAAAACTGGGTAAACTTGATAAAAGCAGTGACCAAAACCAGCCTGACAATGCCCATTTAACATGAGTGAAAATGTTAGATCCATTATTTTTTATGCTGGTTTTTTGTTTTGGTCACTGCTTTTATCATAATGATGATATATATATATATATAGCATTTTTCTGTTTCCTTATTTTGCATCACTTTAATATTTGTANGCATTGATATTAGTGGTATTTCAGTAATTAAAATTTTTATTTAATAAATTACATGAATTACTATATATTTTTTTTCAAAACAGCTTATTTAGCTTTGATGATATAATTTGTATTGCAACAAATTACTAAAATTTTTTTCAAGATTGCATATTTGCAGCTTATATCTTTTTGGTTTGAAAATAATTTTGTAAGTTGCAAATTATTTTTTCACTTTTGCAGACCTCTACAGTTCTTAAACAGATACATACATTATTGGCAACTTATTAAAAGTATAAATAAAGAATATTTTCGTAGGGAGAGTCATAAAATTTAAATAATTTTATTTTTGTTGGAAAAAAACTTTGTATTCAATCAATTTTTGAATTGCATTTTTAATTTTACTAGTTTTTAAAAGCATCTTCACAACAATGAAAAAATATTCATGTAGTTTAAAAGTGATTTTTTTATAATTCAGATTATATTTAATATCAGAAATTTTTAACTTAATAATTTATTATTTAATGTATTTTACAAGACCACTTCTTATTAAATATGGCTGTAAAATTTCAAAAAATTTCTTTGATGATAGCTAATAATAATAATGATTATCTTTGTTTCAGAGTTCTGATAAACTTGAGAGAGATAGATTAATCGTTTTCATCAGCAAATTAATTTTAAATAGGGTATGTATACAGCTATTTAAATAACATAAAGTATTTAATATTTTATTTAATTGATAAAATCTAAGAAATTATTGAAAATATTTCTATATACAATTTTTAATAAATATTTAAGCTTGTTATATGTCTAGAGTTTTTTAATGAATATCCAGATATTCAATGATTGTTGATTTTTGTTATATAATAAAGTTTAATTATTTGATTAGTTATTCAATAAGCTTTTAATAATTTATTTAAACTAATATTTAGCATCATCTCATTGATTTACTTTCTAATTGAAATTAATTTTTGTTGTTTTTATTCTAAAATTCATTTTAAACTATGTAACTATATACAAACTTTTCAATGATTAATGTGTGTCTAGACTTCACTTAATGTAATTATGAACAATTTTATTAATTGGCTAATGTTATCCAAATTAACACATACCAAAACATACAAGTTAAAGTGTATTGTTAAAATATGATTGTGTTTTAGTTAAAAAATCAGAATTCAGTTGTCTTTGAATAACTAGACTTTTTCAAGATCTCTTATGTTATCAGCTTCAACATGTAGGTATTTTAGTTATCACTTAATTATGGATCACTTAATTAGTTAAATATTAATCATTTTACTTGTTATTTATTTTCAATATATTAATATTAAATTGCTGGTATTAAGCTAGTTGAAGTTGATAGCAGACAAACAATACTGTATAAAATATATTTTCATCAGTAATAATAATAATAATAATAGGCATACTTTAAATTATAATTAAAATTTAGAAATTTTCAAAAACAAGACTAGCCATAATACATGCTGAATATTAGAAACACCTTAAAATCTTCAACAGCATTAGCCTATTGTTAGAAGCTGCTGAGTTCTAAAAATGTTGCAGAGGACATTTGGGCAAGTGTTGCTTTTCAGGATTTTTTTTAATTTTAAATAATTTTTGTCGATGTTTAGACATTTTAAAATTAGTTTACTTACACCAAAATCAGTTCTTTTACATAATGTTTTAGTTTCCTGAATTTCAACTGCAAAATCTGAGATAGAAATCTTGAAATTATTAAAAATAATCATCATATTATAGATTTAAGTTAAGAAATATAATTTTTAGAGAAGATATCAATTGTTAAATGTCAATTGATAAAGTTTTCAGTTGAAATGAAAACATTAATGATATATATCCAAACATGGAAGAATATTTCTAAGTTATGTATAACTAAATGTATAATACCCTCAGGAACAGAGAAGTTTTGAAAAGAAACAGAAAAATCTGAAAGTTTTACATTTGTTTTTCTGTTGTTTTGTTATAGTGTTAAATATAGAATGTCTTGAAAATGGAGTTCTGGAATAAGTCCTGAAAGTGAAAGCTATAATGATGATATATATATATATATAGCATTTTTCTGTTTCCTTATTTTGCATCACTTTAATATTTGTAAAACATTTTACTAATGCTAAAGTTTTTCTGAATGTATTAACAAGTTCAATGAGATTTTAAGATCTTAAAGCTTAAAATAAAATTATTAAAGGGGAAAAAGAGAGAGAGAGAGAGAAATATTAATGAGAGAGATAGTAAATCTTGTATCTTTTTCATTCTAATTGTGATATTTTATTATATTCAGATCATCTGAGGACAGGCATTGAAAATATTCAAAAACATTCATGTGTTTACTTTAAAACAATTTTTGCTGGTAAATTAAGTTGTTGATATATTTTTGTTTAGTATTTAATTCTTTATTTTTAATATCTTTTTCTTGCTATTTTTTCTTTCCTAAGTAGTCACCTCCATGCTATTGGTAATGTGTCAGCATTTCCACTGTTGATTAGTTTTTTCAAAATTGTTTATTTTATTCTGGAATGCACTTTAATGTATTATTATTTATTTAATTAGTTATTTGAGTAGTATAATTTTGATCTTTTTGCTATGGCAAATGCACTTTATAAGTAGTTAGTGCAGATATTTAAGTGTTATATTTATTTTTACTATTTTATCTTCTTTTCTATGTTAATGATCAGTTTGATTTAGTAATAAGGCTTCATTTTTTAAAGATTTGTCTTATAGATTCTTCATTTTGGAAATTTTGTCATTGGTTTTTTGTACATTACCACTTCTGTGATTTTCATCAGAACATCTTTAATTACTGGTATGTCATTTTGACTGACTCTGTCTTAAAATTCTTCAAGTAATTCTTTTCTTTCATTTATTGAATGCAATGCAATATTTTGTTATTTTAAATGTGTATATATATATACACATTTAAAATAACAAAATATTGCATTGCATTCATGATGATATATATATATGGGTATGTGTATATAAAAGCAAATTAGCAAAAAAAAAAAAAAAAGTCAAACTCAATTGTAATGAGCTTGGCTACAATGAGTTCATGGCAGTGTTTACGAGTCAGGAATTCCTAGAAAATTTTAAAATTTTTCTTGTTTTGAATCTTGGTAAAAACTGCTTGAGACATAAGAATTTCTTAAAAAATTGATTAATTTACATATATTAAATAGAAAAGTTTCAAATTTATTATAATTTTTAATTTCACTAAAATGAATATTATATCTTAGAATTTGATTAACATTTTATTACAAATTACTGAACCTCTTCAATGACTGTAGTTAACATAATGTTATTCATTATTTTATTCATCACTTTATATTTCTTTGAAATATAGTATTGACATACCACAGAATATTTTTTTGGATAACATTTTTCCAGTGGAATGACATTTGGTTTTTAATATCTGAGCAACATGTGTGTATATTTTGATATTTTTTTTTTGTGCGAATGTTTATGTAGAAGGAGATTTTTCTTACAAAAATACAGCAGTTTTAATAAAACAATATGTGGAAAAAGTCTTCAGTTACATTTCAAAAAATTGTTGGTAGAACATCAAAATCCCATATAAACATTTTTGAAAAATGGGTTGATTATCTTAACAAACAAGATTTGCATCTTTGATGTTACTGGTACTGGAAGAGGCATCACAGCTGAGCTGTGATGACTTCCATAGTCTTATAATATTCCTTATATCGGAAAATCTAAATGTGCTTTTGTGACATTATGAACAGTTGCAAGGGTAATCTGACTTTCTTTTCTTCTTAATTATTTATTTTTCTGTTTGTCATTTTCTGAACTAAAAGCATATATTGAAAATATAACTCACTCATCTTTACCTTCAGCTAAAATTTTTCTTGTAATCAAAATTCTTCACTCTTGAATGCCATCTTCAATGCATTCTAAATGGAAAATTTCTTAAAAGATTATCATCATAATCATAATAATGATGATCTTTCATTTATCGATTTCCAAACAAAGAACTTTAAATTTTCGAAAAAATAAATCTTGTGACTGAATGTCTTCCTGGTGAAAGCAAAATTCTTTGGAAAAATAATTATTTCAAACATAAGCATCATTTAAACTTTTTAAAATAATCATTCTTTAAACAAATTTTTCTTTCTCAAGGAGACATTTGTCATGAGAGGTAATTTTTCAAAAATTTAAAGAACCTTTTGTTTAATGGCTGTTGTACATTTGGATATATGAAGTAGTGTTTTTAAAAGATCATCATTTTTGAAAGGAAGTATTTCATCTAGAAAACACTGAAGATGGTGTTCAAGAAATCAAAAATGTTTTGGTTATATGGAAATATTTTAGCTGAAGCTAAATGTTAGTGAATTATATTTTCAATTATATTTATTTTGGAAATTTTATTTAGTTAGGGCAACTATTTCTTATTTGCAACTAGAAAAACAAAAAAGTAAACCAATCTTATCATTTAGCCTATCATGCTGGATGCATGTCTCATGATGGCATTTTCAGAAGTAAGAGTAAAAGATAAAATAATAATGTTTGAAACAAATAAAAAAAATTGTCATCTTTCATTCTCTGATAAAATAATTGTTCCAGCATTTTCAAAATTAGAGTTGTTGTCAAATGGGAACACACAAAGCATATGACCATCAACATATGTAAGTGAGGTAGGCAGCAGCTGTAATGTCATTATACTAGTGTATATAAAAAGACAATTCTGGGATGGTAATGTTGAGGAGAGGATTGCTAGCACTGCTAGAAAATAAACTGTAGGTTGCT